AGAGAGAGAGAGAGAGAGAGAGAGAGAGAGAGAGAGAGACAGAGAGACAGAGAGACAGAGAGACACAAAAGGGGGGGAGGGGGAGAGGGGAGCCGACGGGAGGAAGGAGCAGAGAGGAGAGGGGACAGAGATCCCCCTAGTAAATGTGACCGTGTTGTGAACTCTTCACCTGGTGCCCCTTCTTAAGCGATAGTCTCAAAACTCAGACTTGTAGCAACATGGGGCTCTCACCTATCCAAAAGATCACTGTGTGGATAGCACGCGGAAGGACTGGTAGTTCAGAAGGAGGAGGGAACTGCGATAGCACCCAGGCGGGGCCAACTGTCCCTGAACGGTATTTTTCTTCCTCTCAGCTGCTAAGTTTCTATCTTCCTGTGGCTGGAACAGTGTCTAGGTTCCGAGATGTGTACTGCAGAGACTACAGAGACTGCAGAGGCTTCTGTGGGCATGCTCAGTACCACAGACCGACTGAAGGAGGGTATGTATTTAATGCATATTTGAACCGCACTACGAGAGCGGAGAGGTGCTTCGCCAGGGACGGGACCGGACCGGGGAGGGCAGAGGAGCTGAACCTCAAGCCTGTTACAGTGGTTCGCTGCAGAACCAGAAAATGCAGAGAGGACTTGAGCTAAGAGGTTGTTACATTAGTTATTCCATTGGAGCATATAATACTTAAATAGTTCTCGCACAAGAGAAATGAGCAGTGGATTACCTTACAAAAGCCGGCGCCACGGCTTTTTTTCTTTGTACTTATCTTTCTAGTGCACTGTTTTCCCTGGGCTCTGGTAAAACACACTCCGGTGAATTGAACCAAGTCCCTGTGGAACACGCCTGCTCTACAGGTCTCATAGCAAAGGCAATTCAAACAATAGCTTCGCAAAGTGCATAATGACAGAAGTTGCCTGGGAAGCTGGGGTTTTTGTTTTGCAGATGCACTGTAAAGAAAAAAAGGAATGCAAGGAGGAGGCAGGGGGCGAGACGCTGACCCCACCCAGGACTAAATCCTTTGCATTTTGAACTCATTGTAAATTATGGAGAGAGAATATAATAGGATTTTCTACTTCAATCTTCAGAAAGGAAGCAAGATGGTGTTTTCTTGCATTTTGAAAATGTCTATGTTTCATTATATTTCATTCTTTTTCCTTCTTCCCTGTTGCTTAACCTTATTTTTTTTCATTTAGGGAAAGAATATTGGATTTTGAGAAAACAAGACTGATATTTACCAAAATACAAAATTCATGACAAATGTTAACGCTTATTACTTACACCAAGTATTCTTCTAACTGAAATTATTACTGTTATTATTAATATTAACTATTGATGTTGCTGCTACAGTCTGCTGTTGATGATTGATTCTTTGAGAAAGTCTCATACTATATCCCAAGCTGGCTGATAATTCCTGCTCCCTTTGCCCCAGCAGGGTTGACTTTTGAAACCAGATACTTAGCCAATGGGAACTGCTAATGTGGAGCTCCGGCCCGAAGGGCAGCTGTTGTGTAACTGAAGGCATTTGAAACTCTACTCTGTTGGAACCATAACTGGTTCTGTGAGTGAAGGAACTCTTTTTTCTTTCAAGACAGGGTTTCTCTGTGTAGCCCTGGCTGTTCTGGACCTCACTCTGTAGACCAGGCTGACCTCAAACTCAGAGATCTGCCAGCCTACCTCTGCCTCCTGAGTGCTGGGATTAAAGGCTTGAGCCACCACCACCTGGCTTTTTTTTTTTTTCTTTTAAATAAAGCTAAAAATCAGATCAGCAATATTTCATTTGTTTGTTTTCTGAGAGATCATTTCTAATATTGCTTCCTAATAAAGATGTGAAATTTATGTTCTAACTGTGCTGTGGGAGGCATTTGAATTTAGAAGGAGATACATGTGTATACACTATGAGAAAGGTGGAAGAAAAAAAATTTACCATTTATGTATCAAAATGAAGAAGACAGTATCAGATGTTATACCGCTGTAAATACAGAGGATTCTCAGTAAATCTTGCTGTTAATAACGTATAAGAAAATGTCTGCTATGAAATCCTGTTGGAATTCAGTGGAAGGGAAAAAATTACCTTTTATATATCAAAATGTTCCGTGGCTTTACCTGCGTCCCATCACATGTTGCTCCTTGGGCGTCTCGCTGAAGTCTCTCTGCGCCTTCTTCTTGGCTCGCTCTTTGAATTTCCCGCCTACCTCTAAGCTGCCTTGCCATAGGCCAAATGGCTTTACTTATCAACCAATCAGAGCAACACCTATTCGCAGCATACAGAAAGACATTCCTCCATCAAACCTCATCTCCCCAATATGTCCATCTCAGTTAAATGTCAGGCCCACATGTTTGACTTGTTTCTCAAGTTGTTTTGTTTTGTTTTTTGTCCGTTCTTGTGGTTTATGCATCTATACTTTTGCCAAAACCGTACTTGCCAAAACCGTCTATGTTTCTGTCGCTCTGTGATTAGGTGGTGTCATTTCTGCAAATTTGGCTTTTTTTTTTCTAAACTGCTCAACAAGACTACTTCTTTTGCATTTTCATGCAATTTGAAAGTTATCTTGTCCTGGAAAGAGATGGCACATCCTTAAAAGCATTGGCTGCTCTTACAGAGGACCCAGGTTTAGCTCCTAGTACCTTCACAACTGTCTGTAATTCCAGTTCCAACATCCTTTTCTGGTCTCCTTGTAGATCAAGCATGCACACCATGCTCAGACATGTAACGAGTCTTTCTTCGTTCCTCCAGCTCCCAAATAATGACATAGAGTCTTCTTATTAATTGTGAAAGCTTGGCATTAGCTTAGGCTTGTTTTTAACTAGCTCTTTTTACTTAAGTTTACTCATTTCTATTAATCTATGTTTTGCCTTGTAGCTTTTTACCTTTCCTTCGTTCTGTATGTCCAACTCTCTCAGCGTTTTGTTGGCATCTTGATTTCTTCTTCTCTTTCTTTCTCTCCTCAGAAATCCTACCTATCTCTCCTAAATAGCTATTGGCCATTCAGCTCTTTATTAAACCAACAGAATGTCCCTTAGCAAAGACACCTCTCGGTGTACAAATATTCTGCAACACAGACATATATGCAGACATATGCATAAAGTAAAAATAAGTTTAAAATGAATACAATAAATAAATGCCTTATTTATTTCTTTGAAATGCCCTATATCCATAAATGTGTTGGGAAGAGTTCCTTCAATTTCTAACTTGCTGAGAGCTTTTGTTATTTTGGACTAATAATTTTTTTCCACACAATTTTGACAAACTTGTTAAAATGCTCCCATATTTCACCCATTAATTATGTCAATATGTTCCATTAAATTTATGTGTGTGTTTATTAATTTATTTATTTACTAGGTTCTTTGAAACTGATCCTTATGTAGTCCAGGTTGGCCTCAACCTCCTTATGTAGTCAAGGGTGGCCTTGAACTCCTGACTCTCCAGCTTCTGCCTCTTTAACACTGGAAATGCACAAGTGTACCAACATGTCTGTCTCTTTGACTGGAGCAGGAGATACACAGGCAGTCATGAGCTGCTGCATGTAGGAGCTGGGAGCCAAACTTGGGTCCTCTAGAAGAACAAAAACTGTTCTTAACTTCTCAGCCAGCTCTCCAGTCTCTTGTTGATCCCTCAGTCCTAGCCAGTCTGTTCTTATGGAACTAGAACAATGGGTGGTTTTTGTTGTTGATTCTTTTTTATCCTAATCTTCACTCTTTCTATTTCTTGCTCCTTTATTGGCTTTTAGTTCAATAACTGGAAGGCAACAATTCTGTTTCCCTTTCCTCCAGTCTTCTGTAAGCCAAGGACATCATTTATGAACCAAGACCTCCCACGGAGGGCATTTGCAACAGGGGAGTACAAGCCAGACCTACAGATGATTCTGGGCAAATTTATCTTTTTCCCTAAAAGGTTCTTGAGATTGATACTCTCATACTTATGTTTTCAGGTAAAAACCTCCAAGGAAAATGTCTCAGGATCATCTCCCCAGAGTCCCCTGCTAAGCTCTACTGCTGCTATACAGTGATCGCCTTGCTCACTGCAGCTGTAATTGCACTGTCGGTTGCATTGTCAGGTGAGTGACTCATCTCCAGATTCTGCAGCGTTCTGTCCACATCCACATTGTCACTTAGACTTACTGACTACTGTGAGCCAGGCACTGTGGGGAGGGCTGGGGAGAAAACTCACTGGAAATTCCTGTTCTCTGGGAACTTGGGTCTAGCAGGAAGATGCAGTGAAGGAACAGCACAGGCTGTGGTGTACACTGGAGGCCAGGCTCAGCATCCATGGGAAGATGGCATTCAGCAACCTCTAGACAGATGCAGGAGACATATGTCCACCTGGGGGAACTATTCAAGGTGGAGAACAAGGAGAGCAATACCTAAAGGAGGAACCTTAAGGAAGTATAAGGACAGAGAAGAGTAATATGGCCAGGAAGATACAGCACCTCTCGCCATTACCCATGGTTTTAGTTACCATGTTCAACTGTATTTTGAAAGTATTCAATGAAAGGTTTTTGAAGTGATCAATTAAAGGATTTTAGTACCACACTCTTCAGAATAGTGTTAGATGTCTTGTACTGTCAGCATCTGTGGGGTGGCCTCTTTCCCTCTCAGCCTGTTGGCCATCAGGTTGAGAAGGGAAAGATGGAGAAGAGGTGACAGAAAGTTTTGTATGCAGCCCATGGGCATGGATGAAGGGAGGCCTCCCAGAGACAGACTTGGGGGAATCAGCTCAACTTATTCCAGAGTATAAGGAATATATAGGATTGGGGAGCCTGGGGACAAACCCTAATTTGTGTTAAGTGGCATTCTACTATCACAAGGCTTGGCATGTGGCAGTAGGGTCCTATAGCAGAACTAGCATAAATCTTCTTAGCAGGGATCTGTATCAAGGGTCAAGCTAAAGAGGAATCAGCCATCTGGTTTTAGAGACAGCTTTCAGACAAGGTCAGTCCTCCAGGCCCTGGGACATCCTCCAGACAAGGTCAGGTAGAGAGCAGGAAGTTCTGTTGGAGGGCGAGGGAGTTCTATATTGTTGAGCTTGTAGAGAAAGGTGCTAGGCTATGGCAGACTGTGCTCTCTAACAAGCCAGCAATGTATTCCAAGATATGAACAATCCCTTAGTCAACACATCCACACTGTGTATACAACCTTCCCAATAGTCCTCCTGTTACCTCAATTATCAGTCTGACTGTCAAAGTCGGTGTCCATACAGAGTGCTTGTTGCTCTAGCAACTCCTACTGCAGTGAATAATCATAAAGCACAAAAAAGTGATGATATAGAAATTCACTTCCTGGGAGCTCTATTTTCTGTGAGCACCCAGAGAGATTGGGGCACAGCCCCTAGATGGGATGTTTTTAGATAAAGTACCATCATGTTAAGGAGAGGATTTCCACAGATCAGTTAGGAAAACTACAGTCAAATTCATACCTCACAGCTGAGCTTAGTAGGCTATGCCAATTCTTGTTATAATTCGTTTTATTGTCCAAATTCTAGTAAAGAAAGAACAGGTCTCAATCAAAAATACCTATGCTGTTTGCCCAAGAGATTGGATTGGATTTGGGAGTAAATGTTTTTATTTTTCTGAAAATACAAATAATTGGACATTCAGCCAGACCTTCTGCATGGAACGGGAGGCCCAGCTAGCTCGATTTGACAGCCTGGAGGAGCTGGTAAGAAAGGACCGGGAATTGGTTTGTTGTTTGTTCTGTTGAATGTGTATTGCCTTGAGGTAGAGTGGTTAAAGATGAGGCACGAGGAAGGATCCCACCCCACACAGATGGACACATGGGGAACATGTGAGTGTGTGTCATTTGCTGATGGTGACACTTCTGATTGGAGCCCTGAGACAGACATTCAAGAAACATTCTCTCATGTAGTGCTCATAGTCAATCTGGAATCCCAGATATGCCATTTTACTGAGATACCTGATGGTCTCATGAGCATTTTGCTCCAAGCCACCATATGTTGCATCCTGAAGGTGATAACTGTTAATAACAGCAAGGAGATGCTTAACCAGAAACTACCCCAGCCACGGAGGGATCTGCCATTAAAATCAGTACTTTAACTCAAATGAGGTACTTATGAATTATAGCTGTCAACTGGATCCACTGAGAACTGAGGGCTATTATAGCTCCCAAGTCTGTGTCCCTCAGTTACACCCTTCTGTCATCTAAAGAGGAAGCCGTAGGGTGGGGACACTCAAGGATCATCTGAAACAGAGACACACGTATATTCGCTTTGCATGTTTTATGACAGAATTTCCTGATGAGATACAAAGGGACTTTTGACTACTGGATTGGCCTGCGCAGGAACTCACCAGAGCCCCCTTGGAGATGGACAGACAACACTGAATATAACAGCTTGTATGTTTTAAAATCAGTTTTCCTTCTACCGTGTTCATGTGTTGTGTTTGTGTGAGCTGTGGTTATGAAAGATGAAGGCTGTGGCATGTGAAGCCAATGGTACTGCCTCGGAGGTATATTCTGCATCATTTTTAAAACCTTTACTTAGTGTGATTTTATTCAAAATCTTTATCATGATGATGGCATATGAGGTAGCTCTTGTCTGCTCCTTCACCAATTTAAACATTTTTGTTGTTGATAAATGCCCTGTTTGGAATGTAGACAGAATCTCAGATGGTCTATGAGGGCTCTGAAACCTCAGGAATCCACTGCAGAAGTGCTAGCCTGAGGCTCATCAGTCTACTGTGTGCATGGCTACACCAGTTCACAGAAGCAGAGACTCTAAGAACATCGGAAACCTCCTCTGACGTCTTGTTATCAGAGCGCACCCAAGACAGTTCTTGGATGTGAGCATAGCTGTTTTGAACGGAGCCATTATACTGGAATGGTAGATCACAGACCCAGTCTTGCCCATCATTAAAGCCCTTTCAGCAATTTACTAAGAAGTGGGTTTCCCCATATGTAAAATGCTTCAAAACAGAATTGAAAATCATCCTCTGTGAGGCCACCCATGGCTGTAGTTTATTTGAACGTGGCAGCAAGCACCAGTCCAATGCTTTGTACACACAGTTCAGGGTTCAACATGGGCGAATGACAAAGGTGTGGTGTTCGAATCAAACCCTGAGAATGTAAAAGTCACTAGGTGTAAATCTCGTGCAGATGATTCCTCCTGGGCTCTGCCTTCCTTTGATTCATATTACAAGCAGTGGAGACAGGCAAGATTTCATTGCAGGGGGCGAATGCAGTTCTGCGCTCTACAGATTTACTGTTTTGGGTTTAATTTCAGGGTTCCCGTCCGAGGAGTGGAAGAACATGCTTACCTGAACAACAATGGCATCAGCAGTGCCCGGGTCTATGCAGACAGGAGATGGATCTGTAGCAAGCCCAACAGCTATACACTTCAGTGCCGAATCCCTTTTTCTTCTTTCTAGTCTTTCCTAAGAGATGCTTAGTAACCTGGTATCTACAGTTGCTACTCTGTCACCTATTTGCCAACATTGTTATCAAAAGGAACTGTTAATATTTCTCCGCATCACAAATGAAACCCATCTTGGAGAACTGTACACACAGGAGTTTAGAAGAACATAGATGAGTCTAAAATAGGTGTTGACACTCATATCTTAAGCCTAAAGTACAATTAATGTTAGTGAACCCCACTTTTATGATATGAAGTTTTTGTGTAGACCGTCCACCTTTTGAATTTATTTGTTTATTTATTTTAGATATATCATTTTATTTTACTTTTTTTTCATTTTACATATCAACCACAGTTCCCCCTCCCTCCCCTCCTGCTTCCCCTCCACCTCCCCCACGCCACCCCCCATCAGCTCCTTAGAGAAAGTAAGGCATGGAGCATCCACAAGGTCTGGCACATCAAGTTGAGGCAGGGCCAAGCTCCTCCCCTCTGCATCAAGGCTGAATGAGGTATCCCAATCTTAGTGGGTAGGCTCCAAAAAGCCAGTTCATGCATCAGGTATAAACCTTTTCCCACTGACAGGGGCCCACAGACAGAGCCAGCCACACAAATGTCAGGCCACCAAAATGAGTTCCCCAAAGTGCACTTGCCCTTGGAATTTCATAATGAAAAGCATCAGGAAGTGGTGGCATATGCCTTTAGTCCCAGCACTGAGGAAGCAAAGGCAAGTAGATCTCTGTGAGTTCGAGGCCAGCTTGGTCTACAAAGTGAGTTCTAGGACAGCCAAGGCTACACAGAGACACCCTGTTTTGGAAAAAAGAAAAGAAAAGCAGAATGGCCGGCTGGTGTTGTGACACACACCTGTAATCCCAGCTACTTATGGGTTGAAAAAGGAGGGTCACAGATTCACAAGTGAGGACTGAAAGTATGGGAATGCTTTAACAATGATAGGGAAGATGAGAATCCATTTGCAGCATCCCATAATTTGGGGGAGGAGGGGAACAACACACAATACATTCTTTTCAAAATTCATTCCAACATACAGAAGAATTTAAAAAGTATTTAAAACTAATATTTACTTTATACTCTGCAATTTAAAACAATAGAGATATTGTCAAAATGTTTCTCAACTTTAGCTTTCAATTATACAGTTTTAAGTACATCTTGTAAACAAATGCCATTTTTAGTTTCCCCATTTGATTGGATTTACTTCACATCAAATGGCAGTTAGTTAAACTCATCCAGCATTCAATAATTAATCTCTTGATAGTGTGCATATTATTGGGCCCTAAAAACAACATATTCAAAGTCTTTATAGAGTAGCTACACTGTACTGATGAGTCCCAAAAAGGATGAAATACCAGGTTACATAGCATCTCTTGATCTCTTCATCCCTTCCTCTCCCTCTTGTTCTGTTCAAAAAACACTTTTATATCTATTTCTTTCATGTATATTTATTTATATGTGTGTGTGTGTATGTATACATGCACACTGCCAGAGCTGGCAGAGAGTTATAGACTGATGTGAGTGGGCACATAGGTACTGGGAATGAAACCCAGGTCTTCTGCAAAAACAACAAGTGCTCTTAACTGCTGAGCCATCTCTCCAGCCTTCTCTTCTTCCTCCATTTTTTTTTTATTGACGCTTCTTGGTAAGCTTTGCAAATGTAGCATGTATCTCCTAAACTCTTTGTGTAGACCAGTCTTACCTCAAACTCACAGAGATCCGCCTGCCTCTGCCTTTCAAGTGCTGAGATTAAAGGTGTGTGCTACCACTGCCTGGCTAGTTTTTGTAAGTTTTAAAATGCAAATGCTATGCTTTGTACCTGTCCGTCTCTGAACAGAAACTGAGCAGGGGTGGGGATGAAGCGGGGGTGGGGGTGGGG